ATGCGTAAGTCCGAGAAGATGACCATCAAAATGGCCACAGGCATCTAACAGCAAATGACATTGCTTGTAAAACTGGGAACACGCTGCAGAGATTAAAGTCCAACTGAAACAGCAATTTAGTTCCAGTGACTGATTTTCAAGATGGTACAACATCTGCATTGGTCTGCACCAAATCAGGCCGTCTACTCTTGATGGCGGGTACACATTATTGTGTAGAAGAAGATTAGGAGTAAATTCTTTCACCCACTTGAAGCTTACATTTTTCTAATCAGTTATGATTGACTCAAAGCATCACAAACCTTTTATACAAGACAGCTGTCACTCTGTTAACAGACCGGTCTGCAGCGTAGCACTACACGCTTCGCTATAAATCACACAAGTGCACTGCATCAAATAATTATCAGTTTCAGTTTCACCTCTATGTGTCCACATTCTCTCTGTTTATCACAAGTGCATTTGTGATTTCAGTTTTTTATGGCCGGCCTCTTTCTGTTGTTAGAACACATCATCATAAAGGAAGAGCTTCATCCACACATCCATGCATTCTCCTAACTATTTATCCAATTCAGGGTCACTGGGAAGCTGTAGCCTATACCAGCTGTCACTGGGAGAGAGGTGAGGTATACCAAGGTCACATCACCAGTCTATCATAGGGCTAACATAGAGACAGATAATCATTCATGCTCACATTCCGACCTACAATAATCACCAAGTATGTGGACTTTGTGAGGAAGCCGGAGTCCATAACAGAACCCACACAGACAGAAGATACTCTCCCCAGAAAGGAAGGCTCTATATAGCTGCCAGATTCAAGCCTAGGACCTTGTTGCTGTAAGGGGGGGGAGAATAGTTTCATTGCCATGCTGTCTTCAATACAAATATATCCAAAATGCATTGTTTTCAGTCCTGTGTTAAAGGCATGCTTTGGAATATTTGACCACAAGTGACACTACGGAGCAATATTCCACAACAAGACGCCCTGTGGAGATTTCTTGTAAACAAACAAAATATATATTTTTTTACATTTAACATTAACACTAAGCCAATTTTAAAGCATTTCAAATCGAGCACTGTTTTGATCCATATCTGCTCACTGGCAAACATATTCCAATCTTTTGTTTATTTCAGGACTCAGATTGCTCTCTCGCTTTGTACTAAGGCCCCTGGTTTGAACCTTATGGTCGGCTGCGGCCTTTGTGTGTGAAGTTTGCATGCTTTTCCTGTGGCAATGTGGGTTTCCCCTGGGTATTCTGGTTTCCACTCACTGTGAAAGTGTTTTTACCTGTCTCTGATCTAGCCCAAAGTCAGATAGGATAAGGTCCAGCCAGTCATCCTTGTCCTAAGTGCTTGAGAAAAAAGCTACTGGCCTTCTTTTTATAACGTTCATGAAGACATTCTGATCTGAAAGGCTTCTTTAGTTCTAAAAGGTGATATGATTCCCAGGTATTTAACCTTAACTGAAGTTGTCACCTTGGAGGTGATACTGACCCACCCAGTCATCCAGTGAGTCTTTAGGGTGACATGAGCCAAGGTGTGAATTCTCTGTGAGACAGTGCCACAACCTGCCATTGTGTGAGTCATTAAGGTCACATGGGTCAAGGTGTGAATGGGAGTTGAATTGCCTCGGAAGGGATCGTAAGACTGCATTATAAAAGGGCTGATAGTTTGTGGCATCGGTCAGTTTCAGACGTATGCAGATAGCCCCCTTTACCTCTCACTCCCGCCGTTTGTCTTCTCTGCCCAGAATTTGAACATTTGTATCCTGAAAGGAGCGTCCCTAACAGGGGTTTCCTTGGCAGAGAGTACTGATGATTTAAACCTTCTCTTACTGTGATCACATTACTTGTAAATATAAATCTAAAATTACAACACAGACCTTACTTTTAACTTCTGTGTATCTTAATTTATTTATTTTTAGAAAATTTTGCTGGTGCAACTCTCGGCAATAATCCAATTTTTTTTTTTTAAGTTGCAGTTTATTACAAGTCCAAGAAATCGCATTTGGAACTGCCTAGCATCAATAGTGGACATGTAAGTACATGCAGATATGTCCTCATTTGACAAAAAACTTGGTCCCAAACCTTGATCCTGTTTCATTCCACGCACTATTAAGGTGATTGACAGCTGGTGAAGTTAAAATTCAAGCCAAAAAAGAAGCAATTTTAAATAATCTTTACAAATGTGCTACAAAGAAAACAATGCTTTCAGTATCTCTGTTTGACACCAGAAACACAAAATGTCCTTTAAAATGAACATAGCTCTAAGATAATTCAATCTGATCTATAAATGGAAATTAATATAAGACTTAATTTCAAAATTGTACATAGGTGAGATAAGCCAATTCCTATATACAGAGTACATAGGAAATGGCTTAGCTGACCCTTTTGCCCAGCATTTTAAACATCTGTAACTGCTTAAGTAGAGGACATATCCACATAAAATTTTCAGGGATGACTAACACATTTGACGTCTGTTAAAAACTGAAACCAAATCTGTTTGACGACAATTTCGTCCTATGAATAACTATGAGCATCGATTCCACTAGATACATTATAGCTTCAATAACAAAACTGCATCAATTGAATGTTCATGGTCCAGAGTAACAGAGCCCAGCAATGGTGCCCTGGATGTTCTATCACTTGAGAAAACTTTGAAAAGTGCATCATATAATGTGGGATAAATAGCTATAACAACTCACAGCATTTTTTAACAGTCATGAATTTGGAGCCTCTGGTGTACTTCTAGGGTCTTTGACTCAGAAAGTATGCATATTGTGAAGGTAAAAATTTGGATTAATTCAGTAAATTAAATCATTCCGAAGCACGGTACTGTGAAAGAATGTTTGTGGGGTCTAAACACTGAGTAAAGCTGTTTTAATGCATCCATTTAACTCGCTGATGAATTTTAGCATCGCTATTGCCCCAGTTAGAGTCAACACACTTTCTGGATTCCTCCATCAGCTGATGAGGAGGTCATCCAAATGAGTGAAGATGTAGTGAATGGCTACGGATAGTTAATGGATCCTCACCACCTTCTGCAGCACTTGTTGGACACGCAGCTGAACACTTTCTCTGTTGCACTCTGCTGCCACAAGGACACGTACAAAAGGTCTTCACCAAATCATCAGATTTAAGGCACTTATTATATTATATTTACATTTATTGAGCTCTTAACTTATTGTTTTTTCTATTTAAAACTTTTCAAGCTATTTTCTTTTGTGATACTGTACACATGTTACTGAGCTAAGTTGCTTTTCATGTTTTAGCTGCTTTAACACAGTGATTTCTCATTTGGGGGATAAAGATTTTTTTTTTAAAATCTTACATACATACTTAAAAAAAAACCTGCTCATTGTAAAGAGGTCAGGTAGGAAATTGTGTAGAAAATTAATATTTATAAGACTGAAATTGTTTGAAAATGACTATTTAAAAACTGTTAAATAGTCTAGGCTACAAGGTGTTTAGATGAATAACTCTATTTACTTTACAAGAGAGTTTAAACATAAAAAAAACCAATTTTTATTAAAAAGTTCTTTTATGAAAGGTAATTCTGCTATCTTATTTGAGTTTTGTGTCATACTTTAAGTTTCTATCAGACAAAGATAATACACTGGGATTCAGGGAACTGAGCAGAAAATGTAAGCAATTTAAGCTTTTCAGTGTTTTTAACAAAATAATTTAAAATATCTCCTTAGCAATTTAACTTTTAACTTCCAAGTTTACTTTGTGATACTGTATGGCCTGTCTAGCGTCATACACAGATACCATTTGGTCAAATGAAGTCTGTGGCACAGATCTAGCATGTCTTGCATTTTGATCCTGCCCACATATGAATCTATATGATTAATTCTGGCCTGCTGTGTTGGATCAGTGAGAATACAAGCTCTGGCTGGCTCTCAAGGTGTGCTATTGTACCCCACATGATAAACAGACGCAGCTGTCATCCCCACGTTGTTCAGCCAGCCTGACTCCCCTTCCCTCATTGGCACCGAAGAAAGCTGGAGTCAAAACAGCTAAAAATGGAAGAATGAGATGCTGAGGCGATTTCAAGAGGCCAGCGAAAGGAAAACCTCTGGAACAAATAACTTATAGTGTGCATGATTGAAGATCAAGTCATTGCAAAGAACATAAATATGAATACATATTTCAGACCCCACAGGAGCATAAAAAAAACAGGAGGGACCGGCCATTTGAACAGAAGCCTGATTGAGGAGCTTCACCAATCAGCAGCAAACACACTTATCACAATTTAGCAAGAGGATGAGAGCGCTTAGGAATTTATATTTGAACCCTCTGATGGGCACCTCTGGAGCTCTTGAGATGAATAATGCACAATAGATACAACAGATACAGATAAGCAGGACAGCGTTAAAAAAGCTAGACTGCTTCTGCTGGACATGTTTAAATACCCTGCTTGTTGCTGCTCTCTGCCTCGTTATTCTGCTTGTCTAAATGTCACATACAGCCATGTGTAATGATTAAACCTGCTAAGTAGTGTAAATATTACAGCATTAAATGTGTGTTTTTAACACATGGCCAAGGTAAATAATAACTTTCAGTGTGTCTGGCTATCAGTTAGTCTTTGATCTAACATCGTGCCTGCTTCCTCTTTTCACAATACACTGAAGTACAGTTACAGTGTTCAGCTATGTGGCAAAAGAGGTTTTCAAGACTGGAATCACATGTTTGAGCAACAAACACACTTGAGCCATGCTAGCCGGATAAGCCAAGAGTGCTTCCTAAGCTAGAAACGCTAATCCTGACTTGGTATGTTGTTAGTTCATGCAGTCGGAAGGCTGGACACACGGACAAATGGAGGCGACTCGCCCCGCTCGATTATTTCCAGCTCATAAGTAGCACCTCGGTGCTAGCTACCATAACGTGTGATCGGTCAAACAAGCAAAAAGAAAAGGGGGGCTCCACTGGCGCTGGAACTAAAAACAGCAGCAGCTAGGTTAGATTAGGACGTAGTTAGGTTAGTATCCGAGCGAGATGACTTACTGGGAGAGACTGACACTCATCGTCACTTTGTCTAAAAAGCAGCGAAGCACAGGGAACCGCTTGAAAGAGCAGCGAATACCAGCGGACTCTCGAAGCGGCTTTCCTTCATCATATTGGAAAAACAAGCAATTATTAGCCACGTTAGATGTATCGCGTATTCTTTATTATGCTACACTTCGGAAAGGACAATCAGCTGGTTCCATAGTGTAGCGGTTATCACGTCTGCTTTACACGCAGAAGGTCCTGGGTTCGAGCCCCAGTGGAACCAGGAATAATTTTCTGCTTCGAAACTGAGTGGAAGCCTCTGCAGTAGGTAGGTTACTATGCTGATAAATTATTAAAATGAAACTAATGTACACTTACTCTATACTTCTAAAACTTTGCAAATATACAAACTTCAGGCTGGACTCCACTTAAAAATACATAGCGATATTCTCTGAATGGCAAAAAAGCATATATGAAGCAAGGGTAACAGGACAACCTGTCTAAAGACTAACAGGTTGTCCTGTTACTCTTTGAAAATAGGTAGATCTTCTATACGTCTGTCATTCTGGCCTAATGTGTCCACTTGTTGGCCGTGATATGACCGAGTTGAGTGTGTAAGTTTCTTGTTGGTGTGAGATTATTTACACTCTAATGGTGAAAAATACTGGTTTGAAAGGCTACCTGTAAATTTTCTTTTTAAGGCCCCAACAGGCCCAACAGAAATATGATTCTGCAGTGTCTGGATGAATAAGTGATGGGCAAGAGGAAGCTACACACCACTAGTGGATGGTTTTGTGCCGTGGTCTAACAAGAATCATGTTTCTAAATGTAAATAACAGCAGAAAGCTGGGGATCAACTTCAGAAGGAAGATGAAGACTACATGGCCTGTGTCTATCCTGGGGTAAGATGTTGGCGTGGTGGACGACTACAAGTAACACATCGACAACAGGCTGAACTAGAAGAGGCTGTATACAAGAAGAGGGTGAGCAGGCACTGGCTGGAAGGTGGACACTTCTAAAACTGCGGTGGACAGGAGGTCACTTAACAAACTGCTTTCTATCTGGGATAATTCTAACCACCCTCTACAAGACTTACTGGAGAACCTTCTCTACCAGACCAATTCAGCTCTGCTGCCACGAGGACAGAAACGGAAAACCCTTCATACCGCAGGCAATAACTACAGTACAACACGTGTAAAGCAGAAAATCATCTGAATGTTCTGTATGCTCATTTAGACATTTTATTTGAATCCTATGTGGTAACAAAACTTTATTTACTGAATTTTAGAATTTTACTTTTGCTTTGTTGATTCTGAAATGCTTAATTATTATAATTTTTAATGCTATTATCATTGTTGCTGTTTTTATTATTGAAGTGGTGTAACAAAAGAATTTCCCACACCTGAGATAAATATAGTATATTTTATCTTATTGTTATCTTTTAACAGCATTAATTTAGTAATTAGTATTGTGATTCTGCAAACACATACCTACAAAAACTCCCATTAACTCCCATTTCTCAAGACCATATTTTCAGTGTCCTAAACTGAATCAATCATCCTTTTGGCAAAACAAGTTTCACCTACTTAGACACAATTTGCAGATCCTATTTAACTGTATTTCAAAATGATAAACATGCGATCACTCCCTAAACACATTTTTCCACAGTGATTCGCATGCAATGCATAACTTCTAATAACACGAGGCAGAAGTAGATATCAATACAGCACAGACGTCATTTATCAAACACAACGCAAAATTTTTCTGAGGTAATTAAACTGCAACAAGACAGTTTAGAGGACTCAGAAAGCAAGCGAGAGCTGAAGGTTGATACCAATAACTGGTGAAAGCAATGTGACGTAAAGGAGGAAGAAGTAGGACGATGCGGAAGAACAATATCAAAAATAGTAATTTAAGTAGAACTGTGAGACCATGGTTTGACATTAAATGACAGCCCATATGAAAAGAAACTTCTAGACTTCATTAGACTTCCACTCACATCATTAGGTACAACGTTTCAGCTGTTCGTTAACACAAATATTTAACTGGCAAATCATATGACACCAACTCTTTGCAAATCAAAACAACCTGCTGAAGTTCAAACAAAGTATCAGAATGGGGAAGTAAAGTGCTTTAAGTGACTCTGATTGTAACTCTGACACTCTGGTTGTTGGTGCCAGACAGGCTTTTCCTTCAGAAACTGCTAATCCACTGGGATTTTTCCACAGAATATATCTACAGAGTTTACAGAGAATGATCCAATAGAGAGGAAATACCCAGTGAGTGGCAGTTCTCTAAGTGATGTTGATGCCAGACGTCACAGGAGAGTGACCCGGCAGCATTAGGCTGATAGGAAGGCAACAGCAACTCAAATAACCACTCATTACAATCCAGGTATGCAGAAGAGCATCTATGAAAGTTTTTCCATATTTCCCACACTTACAGGTTTTAAATCATCAAACAAATTTTAAAATTAGACAAAGATAACCTGAGTAAATACAGACATTTAATGATGATTTCATGTATTTAAAAAAAAAAGCTATCCAAACCTAAGTGGCCCTACGTGAAAAGTAATTGCTTGTTAAACCACTTGACAGCAACAACTGCAATCAAGCATTTGCAATAACTGGCGATGAGTCTTTTACATCGCTGTGGAGGAATTTTGGCCCTATCTTATTTGCAGAATTGTTTTAATTCAGTGACACTGGAGTTTTGAGCATTACTGGGCTGTTCACAGTCATGTCAAAGCATCTCAATGTGATTGGATAGCCAGACCTTGATAAGGTGACTTCAAAATCTTAATTTAGCTTCTTTTTTTTTGAGCCACTCAGAGGTGGAGGTGTGCTTGAGGTTCAGGGCACAAACCGACTGCAGGACATTTTCCTTCAGGATTTTCTGTTACAGAGATGAATTCATCGCTCCATCAATTACAGCATCCTGAAGCAGCAAAGTGGCTCCAGACCATCACTTTAACAGCACCAAAAAAGTTCAACTTTTGTTGTCTTTTGGCAGCCTTTGTGTTCTTTTTGGTCATTAATGGTCTTTCCTATTGTTGAATCATGAACACCGACCTTAACTGAGGCAAGTGATGCCTGCAATTCTTTACATGTTTTTCTGGGTTCTTTTGTGATCTCTGGGATGAGTCAACAATGTGCTCTTGGAGTAAATTTGGTAGGTTGCTCTGGTTAAGGTTCACCACTGTTCCAAGTTGTCTCCATTTGTGGGTAATGGCTGTCACTGTAGTTTGCTGGATCCTGAATCCCTAGAAACTAGTTTGCAACATCTTTGTAATAGATGCCAATGACTTTGTTTCCCTTCAGTTCTTGAGTTTCTTTAGATTGTGGCATGATGTGTTGCTTTTTGAGATCCTTTAGCTTCTTTCGCTTTATCAGACAGCTTCTATATAAGTGACTTCTTCATTCAACAGGTCTGGGAGTAATAAGGACTGTGTGTGAACTAGTGTAATTGAACTCAGGTTTAAAAAAAAATTGTGGCTATTTACAGTTCATTCATGATTTCACAGGAAGTGCAGTACCTTTTTCACACAGAGGCAGGTAGGTTTGGGTAGTTTACCCCTCCCCCCAACAACAATGGCTTGTCTCCCACGCTGGGAGTTTTGTTTTTCTCTGGGTTGTTGCACTTATTACTATTTTAATTATACTTTTTAATTAATGAAATAACAGGATAAAAATAATATTCAACAGTTTAAAGTATCTAAGGCTGCTTTTGCATTCTCTTACTGTAACCCATTAATTAATAATAACAATTAATAATGGCAACAGGTGTGTGATTATCCAGGTGCACCAGAAATTATACGTTACGACAGTTTTACTACATAAAATAAAATGGAAATAAAACAAAAATAAAATAGTTGAACAAATAATAATTAATAATCGCTGACAATAAAGCCTCGCTATTCAGTTAGCCAGGTGTTGCCAGTTTACTATCAACAGTCCTATAATAACCCTCAACCGTTATAAAGTAAGCAGTTTTTAAGAATCACTCACCAAACCTCCTTCTTCTTTGCCTACAAACAAGTGCTAATACTTATAAATAAAAACCTTTTTCAATACGTTAGGAATGGTTGCGCTGCTGGGATTTTAATTTGGCCTTTCCCCCACCCACCGCCCTGCCCCCCTTTTTTTCTTTCTTTTTTTTTTATGAACGGATGTTGTCTCCTTCTAGTTTCCGGTGTAACATTAAATTCTGTCCCCAAAATGGCGAACGTATCTGTTGCCAACGCCGCTGCTGCGGCCGCAGCTGCAGCCGCGAATAGAGACCCAGCCGTTGACCGGTCACTACGATCGGTGTTCGGTAAGTTTGTTGCTTTTAGGTCGCTGTGTTTGGGTAAGTTTATCCTCTGGGTGCTCAGGAAGAATGTAAGGAAGCGGGTTGTGAATCAAAACTTGCTAACATGGATGTCAGGCTAGTGTTGCTGTTAGCTGAACACCGCGCGAGGGAAAGTTAAAAAGAAATAGCAAGCAAAGGAGCCTCGAATTACAAATCCTTCTTCTGTTTATTGTCATACTAACACTAAATATTGTGTGTATTAATTGTTTTAGTGGGAAATATTCCGTATGAAGCCACAGAAGAACAGCTGAAAGACATCTTCTCTGAAGTCGGACTTGTTGTCAGTTTCAGGTGAGTGAAGGAACGCGCTAGACCTGGTCCTCTCTGAACTAAGATGTTTTATAGGGTTTTAATAAGTCCTTTTAGACAGTCTTAAATGTGGATTGTTCCCTTTTCTTGTACTCAGGTTAGTGTATGACAGGGAGACAGGAAAGCCAAAGGGATATGGTTTCTGTGAATACCAAGACCAGGAGACTGCCCTCAGTGCCATGCGAAACTTGAATGGGAGAGAGTTTAGTGGTCGGGCTCTCCGTGTTGACAACGCAGCCAGTGAGAAGAACAAGGAAGAGCTGAAAAGTAAGTTTTTAATTTCCTCTCGAGTTTGTTTAGGTAAGCTTCTGGTCATAATCTGTTTCAATACCCAAGCTATTTTTGTCTTGCACAGGTTTGGGAACAGGAGCCCCCATTATTGAGTCTCCTTATGGAGACAGCATCCAGCCAGAGGAGGCCCCAGAGTCCATCAGCAGAGCAGTAGCCAGTCTGCCACCTGAGCAGATGTTTGAACTCATGAAACAAATGAAGGTAGGGTGTGTCCCCCCCCCATATACACTTATAACCATCTCCAGAGAGGAGATTGAGGTTTCTTTACTGTACTCTCGGTGAGAGGTGAACTTATCAATAGTAGAATCATCTGCCAAATGGGTAGTCTGTGGTGCATTTAAGAATTAATTTGATGACTTTATGTTCAGCTCTATGTA